GCGCGCAGCCGCTCCGACGGACCACGGTTCTCAGTGTTGGCGTCAACGCGGGGCCGCACGCCCGCATAGACCCACTCGTTCGTCGTGGAGTGGTCGATGCCGCTGCTGCGGCCGCGCCGGGAAAAGTATGCGTGATAGTGGATGCGACCTGGATTCTGCGCGTGAGTGGACACTTCGCATGTGCAGCTCCAGTACGTGGCGTTATACTTCTCGGCCCCTCCCTTCACGAATACAAGGAAGTCGCCCCACTGGCGCGGGGAGAGGGCGAAGGCGAGGCTGTTGTACGTCATCATGAAGGCCCTCGCGCGGAGTCGGAATTAACCAGCGCCCCTGTAGAAGCTGTGCTGCAACGTGTGGTGCCCCTCGATCTCGACATCTCCATGGTTATCATCCTCTGCCGCGCCGCCTGGCGACTCGGCCGCGCGCAACGCCATCTCGAGGCGTTCCTTCCCGGCGTCCAAGAAGGACTGCTGCCAGCCTGCCCCGCCGGCTCGCGACCACTCGCTCCGCAGCTCTCCGAGGCGGCCCAACTGCTCACAGGACCCCTTCGCGGAGATTGCCTCGTACGGCGCTTCGCGCGTGGCCCCTGCATCCCGCAGGCGCACCGGCTGCAGCCCGAGCTCACCAGCCTAGGAACGAGGAAAAGCGACACCAACACCACCAGGGCCAGGAGATGCGAGGAGCCGGGGGGGGGGGTCTCCCTGGCGGTGTGGTCGCCCCGTCCCGCTCGAGACATCCCCAATCCCCAGCTCGTGGAGGCATCGTGGACCTCGCTGGAGGTGGCCTCCCTGGTGGCGTTGGTGCCGACAGCCAGGGCGTTCAAGGAGCGGCAAACTCCATCCCTGGCCCTGCGATTCTCCTCGGCAGAAGGCATGCGCCAGGCCGAGGGCGCCGGGGCCTGCCAGGGCGACGAGGCGATGGCTCGAGTCACAATGGCAACGGAATCGGACTCCCCCATGCGTTTGAACTCCACGCGGAGGGCCAAACAAGTCGCAAGCGTGATCCTTCCCCTGTCTGGAAGGGCCCCTTGACGGCCTTTTCTTCACCCTTCATGTAGGCCCCCCCCCGTGACCACCCGCCCGAGATTCCCGGGGGGCAGGCGTCACGGAAAATTCCAGTGCCGGAGGAGAGGTTTCAGGTCTTCAGTTGGTTTGATGTCGGGCGTGTCCCCCTACAGGGGGGTTGTCGACGAACAACAAAAAAAACAATACCCCAAAAGTATTCCAAAAAGGTTTAGAAATATCTAAAAAAAAAAAAAAAGGTCCCCAGACTATTTTTTGATTATTTTTTGATTATGTTTGGGGTATCTTCTATTTTTCGTCGAAAATCCCCCTGTAGGGGGACAGGCCCAACTTAACCCTGGTTTCACGGGTTCTCGGCGGCCTCCCAGGGGATGCTCTCCGGCAGCTGCGCCTCGCCGGGGGCGCTCCGGGGCTGCCCAGGTCGTCCCCGATGGGCCGCCAGGGCGCCGAGCTAGGGTGATGTCGGGCCTGTCCCCCTACAGGCAGATCTTCGACGAAAAATTTTAAATACCCCGAAAAATTGCCCCGAAAAGGCCAGAACCTATTCAAACAAAAATGGCCCCAGACTTTTTTTGAAGTATTTCTTCATTATTTTGGGGGTATCTTTTATTTTCCGTCGAAAATCCCCCTGTAGGGGGACAGGCCCGACTTAAGGATAGGCTCACGCGGGGGTTGCATCGACCGCCCAGCCCCCCTCGATCGCCGCAGCACGGGCCCGACATCCCGCCCCGCCCGAGAACGTGCGGATGGGCCATCGGGGGCCCATCGCGGATCGGCGACGTGCCGTCGAGTCCAGGCCGATGTTTCCCCCTTCAGAGCCAGTCCCCCTCACAGGGCGCGTTTCGATTCTTACGATTCGATTCGACTCGATTTCGATGGATTCCGATTCCGATTCGATTCGATTTCGGATTCCGATGTGGATTCCGATTTCTTATTGGAGGCATACTGGCCTGCCGATTTCCGCCGATTCGACTTTTCCCGATTCGGCTGCCGATTTCCGTCGATCCGATTCATGTCGATTGCCGATCCGATTTATCGATTCGATTCTGGGCTCTCCTGCCCTCAGCGATCCTCATCGTTTGGCGTTCAAGGCCAGTAGGCCTCGGGTCTACAGCGGCCGTTCGGCGAGGACCGCGCCCTGCGAGGCACGGCTGCCGGAACGCGCCCCGAGACAGGACAGCCTCTGGGAGCGTGCCACAACATCCGAAAGCCGATGCGAGGCGCAGCCGCCGGAGAGCCGCTGGTCGACGTTTCCCCCCCCGAGCCGCCCCCCTGACCGAGTGCCCCCGCTCACGGGCGGGGTCGGGCCAGGCGTCGGCGGCGGCCGTCGGCCGCGGGTCGTCGCCGTCCGTCGTTGCGGCGGCCGATCGAGGACCACCTGGGAAGCAAGTCTTGTGGAGGGCAAGGATGCGTTTGTTGCTCGTTCGCTCGTTCGCGGTGAAAGGCACCGAAGGGCACATGAGTTCGCAGGCAGAGGCACGTCTGATCAGGCCACGCACGTGGAAGGCGAGGCAGGCTACCAGTTTGCCCACCCAGAGAGCATGTTTACCTTCACTGGATTCGAGGATCGAGCTTCTCGTACGTTTGTGGTGTTGGGCCTCTGGATGCCTCTGCATCCGGGGGTCCAGGCTTCCGCTGGCGGCGGCCAAGTCTTGAGACCAGCCGCTGGTCGTCGTCGCCGTCCGTCGTAACCGTCGCCGCGTGTCGGAGATCTCGACGAAAGAAAACAGCATGAACTGTAAGATTCGGAGGGGGCCGCGCGGGTTTCTTGGGTCGGTGCTGGACCCTCCTGGCAGCACCTCCAGCGTCGCCCCTGGCGCGCGGTCCAGCGCCGACCCAAGAAGTCCTCGCGGACCTCCGAAAGCGTCGTATGTTTACGTCGTTGTCGTTGTTCGTGTCTCCAGGACCGAGGTTCGAGGATCGAGCTTTGCGGATCTTGTTGCTGGTCTTTGGGCCTCTGGAGGCCTCTGCGGGTACCCAGGGCTCCAGGGATCGCGGCCGTTGTCCTCGTCGTCGTCGTTGCCCTTGCCCTGGAGCTCTGGGGCTGGCACGCCCAGAGATCTGCTGTGGGCCTCTGGAGGCCTCTGCGGATACCCGGGGCTCCAGGGGTCGCGGCTGTTGTCCTCGTCGTCGGTCGTCGTCGTCCTCGTCGTCGTCGTCGTCGTCATCATCGCCCTCGCCCTGGAGCTCTGCGGCTGGCACGCCCAGAGATCTTCTGGCGGGGCCCCAGGACGTCCTGGCCCGCTGCCCCCGGGGCCGGTCTTGCAGCCCCGCGTCGTGCGTAGGCCCCGTGGCCCAGCGAGGGGCACCCTTCGGGGCCGGAGCAAGAACAGCGAGAGAGTTCCCTCCCGAACTTGTCGATATTCGCGAGTAGAAGAAGAATAATGATGATAAGAAGAAGAAGAAGAAGAAGAAGAAGAAGACGATCGGTATCGTTTAACCGATCCCCAGCCCCATCGCCATCCCCATCCAGGCCCCCAGCATCGTTGCACCCCAGTGGAGACACACACGCCTCGAGACCCGAAGGGAACGGCCGATATCCCCATCTAGGTGGTCAATCGGCCATTGGGGCCCAGCCCGCGTTCATGGGGATAGGGGTCGGTTAAACGATGCCCAGAAGAAGAAGAAGAAGAAGAAAACAACTTAATGTTTCTGCGAGTGGTTTAGTTCACAAGGGCCTTCTGTTCCTGTTCCTCAGGGCCTCCATTTCCAGTGTAAGTGGCTCAGGGCCCCGCCCGAGGGCCCATGCCTCCGCCAGGCATGTCCAGGATGGGGACTTGTTGTTCTGCCAGATAGAAGAAGCACGAACGCCATAAACATAATCTGTGGCGCTCCGCGCGGATTTCGTAGGTCTGCGCTGGACCTGGCGCGCCGAGCGCGCCTGGGGCGCCGCTGGAGGCGCCGCCGGGGCGGGGGGGCCCAGCGCGGATCCAAGAAATCCGCGCGGAGCGCCAAAAGTTTATGTGTATGCCGTGCTTCTTCTTCTATCCAGAGCGTTCTGGAACGCCTCCAGAGCATGCCGGAACGTTCTGGGACGGCCGTGGCACCGGACGCATCCTCCAGAACCGCTTCATCTCGGAGATCCCCGACTTGTCCCGATCCGAGGTTGTCCCGACCCTGGCTTCGCCTGAACAGTCGGACCGAGGTATACACTCGGGGTCGTCTCGGGGAGGGCACCCTCCGGTCCTCTTTGCCTGCTGGATGTTTGCTGTGCATCCTGCGGAGGGTGCCCCTGGATGTTCTGTGTTTTGGCCGGCGGAGGGCCTCGTGCTCTTGCAGGATGCTCTTCAGTCATGCAGTGGGGGCCCATGCCAAGAAACGCCCTGCTTGCATCCAGGGTGCCCCGGGTTTCTTGGATTCCGATGGTTCTGCGATGGAAAGCGAGGCGTTCCCACACCAAAAACCGATGGTCACCCTAATCAGGGTCTCAGGGTGGGGCTTCTTGTGGAAGGTTTCTTGTGGTCGGGCCATCTTGGTGTCCTTGGTTGCCTGCGTGGGCCGTCTTGGGAGCTCGGGGCGCATGTTCCAATGTTCCAATGTTAAGGAGAGGAAAAAGCACACAGACACAATTAATCCTCGATTCCCTAGAAAATATGGGAAAATATGGGAATTGGGCGGGAAGACAAAAACCCAGAAAATATAGGAAAGTATGGAAAATAGTTTTATTTGTGTGTATTTATTTGTGTGTCCTGGGGTCCCTTGAAATGTTTCGGTACGAGTAATCGTGGTTTCGGGAGGGCGGCCCGATGGTTTTCTAGAAAGGATCGTGGCCGCCGGATGGGGGAGACGATTCGCTTGGAGAGACGCGGGCCCCCACTGTGGGCACCGCTTCGGGCTCAGGAGGGGTCGAGGAGGAGGAGGAGGAGGAGGAGGAGGAGGAAGAGGAGGAGGAGGAGGAGGTACTCACTGTACGGGCCCCGTCCTTGCAGTGCCGATCTACCCTCCCCCCTCGTCGCTCCCGCAAAAGCGCACGCCCAGCGCCGCCTCGGGGGCCGCCGGCACGGGCGGCACCATCGGCCGCTCGCTGGACGACCTCTCGCAGGCGGGGCCGCGGTTCCGTGGGCGGCCGGCGGGCCGCCAGCCCCACACGAGTACCACAGATCTCGCCGCGATGGACAGGGGAACGACGAGTGACATCAACAGAACAACGTGGAGGTCCGCGCAGGTTCCTCGGATCGGCGCCGGGGCCCGCCCTGTGGCGGCGCCTCCGGCGCCGCGCCCGGCGCCCCGGCTCCGGCGCGCTCCGCGCGCCAGGGAGGGGGGGTCCAGCGCCGAGCCGAGGGATCCGTGCGGACCTCCGAGTTGATGAATTTCAGGAAGAAACACACAGACACAATTAGTCCTCGACTCCCCCTGGGAAAATATGGGCACATATGGGAAGTGGGGGGAGGACAAAACCCAAGAAAATATTAGAAAATATGGGGAATCTTTTTATTTGTGTGTATTTATTTGTGTGTCCTGGGGCCCCTTCAGAGAGGGGGTCCAGCGCAGATCCGAGAGAGCCGCGCGGACCTCCGAGTTGATACATATTTATGTCACGAAGGACGGTCGGGCGGGACGAAAGGGGGGGATTGGGAAAGGGGGGGGGTCGAAATCTGCTGCATATGCAGCTGGTTTCGGCCCCACCGAGGGGCTCATTCCTCTCTACATGGGCGCCTCCCGGCGCCGGGAGGCGCCCGGAAAAGCAGCTACGTGAGCTGATTCTCACCCCCCCCCCCTTTGCTATCCCCCCCTGTCGCCCTGCCCGCGACAGGGGGCCTGAGCGTCTCGTAGTCTTCGGGCTCCCAGGGTCCTCCACGGGCCCTGGGCCTGTCAAGAACGACCCGGCCTGGAAACTTGGTCCAGGGGAAGGGTCCCGGGGTCCAGGACCCGTTTCCCTCAGGACCTTGTTGCCCTCATGCTAAAGGTCGACGCTGGCGACGGCGACGAAGAAGACGACAGCAACAACGACGACTACGACGAGGAGGAGAACGAGGAAGAGGAGGACAACGAGGACGAGGACGACGGACGACGACAGAGGAGGGCCACCTGAGGTGTCGGAGGCCTTGCGGCCTCCCCCTCTCTTTCTCGTCCCTTCCCCCCCCGTCACTGCCCTCCCCTCTATTCATCCGCCCGTCTATCATCCCTCCCTGCCACCTCAATGTTCCCCTTTACCATCCCCCGTCCCCCCCATCTCCCTCCCTTCCCTCCCTTGTCCGTCGTTCCTCATTTCATATTCTCCCTCCCTCTCCCTCCCTCATCCTCCCTCCCTCATCTTCCTCCCTCCTCCTCTTCACCAGGAGGGGAACACCGCGAATAGGCCCTCCTGTCCAGGCCAGGCGAGAGGAGCGGCAGAGGTGAGGAGGAGGAGGAGGAGGAGGAGGAGGAGGAGGAGGAGGAGGAGGAGGAGCAGAGAAGATGAGAAGGGGAGTGGAAGGGCGGGGGGGGGAGGGTCTCCGGACTCCGAGTGGTGCGAGAGGGTGAGAGGAGTTGGTGGAGGCACGTGACGAGGATTGGGGCGTAGGTGACGAGAGGCAATGCCCTCCCCCTCCTCCTCCTCCCCCTCCTCCTCCTCTTCCTCCTCCTCCTCCTCCATTTTGGCTCAAGCACTGTTGGCATCAGCAGCGCCTGCCGCACCCCGCGCGCGGACGGTCCGTCGGTTTGTTTCGTTTCATGTCTAAACGCGGAGCTGATGGCTCTCCTGCTATGTCTACTGATGGTATGTCCGATGATGAGGATAGGCGGCGTGCAGACAGGTCACCCTCGCGAGAGATCACGAATGCCGACCTGCTCAAGTACATGAAGGGGATGGACAGGAATGTGAACACTAAACTCAAGAGGGTACAAAATGATTTGAGGGCTGTGGATAAGAAGGCGGACGCAGCTGTTGAGGCGGCTCAGAGTACTCAGGAGATGGCTGCGGACGCTCTTCGAGTCGCTCAGGCGGCTCAAGCAGGGTCAAGGCCTGCGAGTACGGCATCTACCGTTGCTGGGCCACCACGTCCTGGCCCGCCCATGGGTGATGATGCCCTGAAGATCGTGATTGGAGGCTTCCCTGAGGCTTCAGACAAAGATGAGATGTTACCTTACCTGGACAAGATCTGCTCGATGGTGGACCCAACTGCTATTACTCGTAAGTGGTGCGCTTCTCCTGGGAATCATGCAGCAGTGTATTGTCGTGATGATCGTGCAGTTTGGGCACTATTGGGGAAGCATCGTGAATGCGTCGATCGGGACAACTTTGGCGGCACTGACAGTGGTAAGGCACAGTATACTCCTGCTCCTGGTGGTGATGGAGGCCCTCCGCTTCCTGGACTTCGTTTGTGGATGAAGAAGCATCAGTCGATGGAGCAGCGTCAGGTGACATCGACTCTGGTGAACATGGCTATTGTGCTTTCGCAGGCTGAGGGCAAAGGGCGCCGATTCAAGATTGTCTTTCCGCAGCGCGAGATCAGGCTTCCTGATGAGATGGGTCAGCGCAAACAGGTTGCGTATATCAACGCCATGGGTTTGCCGACGCTCACCCTGGCCAACTTCAATGCCGAGCTGCAGCAGTCTGATCTTAAGGATGACGAGACTTTCCAGCAGAGAGTGGAGCAGAGCAAGCAGGACTTCAAGGCGCGCCGTTCGTTTCGGGACTAGAGATAGACTTTCTAAATCTTGGGGTAAGAAGATCATTCAGAACTTGAATGTCGTTACGCTCAATTGCTGTGGGATGGATCTTGATGCGTTCAGTGGGTTTCTAGAAAGTATATCAGAGGAGTGCGAGTGGGACGTGCTACTCCTGCAGGAGGTCTTTGCGGTCTCGACGAACTTACCAAATTCAATTCAAGGACATGTTGTCATAACTTCTCCAGGCGCTCTACAGAACCGTGGATGTGCTATTGTATTTCATCGGCGTCACCTTCATTGTGTTCACAAAGCTCCAGAACCTATACATCCTCGTGTGACGGTGGCGAGGGCCACCAACAAGGACAAATCGTTTCTCTTTGTCTCTACTTACCTTCCTCAACCTACTTCTGAAGAATGCTACGATGACACCTCCAACCTCATCTTTGGCTACATCTCGACACATCAGATACCTGGTGATACTCTCATCTTGGGTGCTGACTTTAACGCTGAGCTTGGCCCTAAAGAACTTCACGAGGAGGATCAGTATCTTGGGGACTTCTCGGGTGGCGCACGAAATGAACGTGGAGAGTGGCTTCTCTTATTAGCAATGCAGCACGGGCTGGCTTTCTCTCACACCTTTTGTCCTCGGGGAGGTGTACCTACCAGGTATGCGTTTGGATCGGACCAGACCTTACGGCTCTTTCATTGATGGCTTTATGGTTTCCAAAGCATGTCGGGCAAGAGTAAGGCAGACTAAAGTTCTGGACACTGCTGCGACGATCACGGACCACCGCATGCTCATCACGCAGTACGAATGTCAACACGAACGCGTTTGGCGAGAGAAGAAACCTCTCGGATGGCGAGTTCAGCAACCTGAAGAGTATATATCAGGGATAGCTTCTTCACTCACCTCGGATATGACGCTGGAGGACTTCTCGAGAACCATTGGGAAGGCTGCAGTCAACGCTGGGAAGAGTATGAGTGCTCGGGCGGCTGCGCGTCAGGATCGCGCACTTCTTCATGCTCTGGAGGCGGCTTGGCGACAGGCTCCCACTCAGGCTGAGAAGATTGCATGCGCTCGTAAAGTATGGGCTGAGAGACGACGGCTGCGCGACCTTGAGCATCACGCGGCGTCTCAGGCTGTTCTAAGCAACTTGCGAGCCGGGGGTTGGGGCAAGAAGGCCTCCGGCACCTCAGGCAGACTGGCCCTGAGGGATCCTGAGAAATAAGATCGGTCCATCACGAACCCGTCGGAGATTGTCGATGTTGGTCAGGAGTATTATAGCAAGCAGTTCTCTGAATCTCGCTCCCACCTCCTTAACATTCCCTCCTGGATCTACGACAAATTCAAGATAGACAATACCTTCAACATATCTCACCTCCTAAAGTGTACTATGCTACTTAAGCCTCGTAAGTCGCGCTGCTCTGAAGATATGGTTGTTGCCGAAATGCTGCGGGCCATTGCCATGCAAGGTACCGCTCCCCCCTCAGCTATGCCAACAACTATTGACTTTGGGGATATGGGTCCTGGGGCTTATGGGAGAGCCTGGGTCGGACAGTTTGATGGGGCTCGGCGTGATGAGGACAATGCTGGCTGTGGCTGTGTTCTATATGATGGTATGGGGGTGGAGATGTTTCGCTTTTCACATCGGCTTTCTCCTGGGAGCTCTTCGATTGATGCTGAATGGCATGGGTTACTTTTCCTCCTGGAGATCGCTCTTGGGTATCGGAACGAGGATGTTCAATATGATTTCGTTATCGAAGGTGATTGTGACCCAGTCGTTAACCAGCTTGCGGGGCTATGGTCTGTCTTAGATAGTCGTACGTGGGCTTATCGATCATCGGCTCTTGCTCTCACCTCTCGGCTGGGAAGGGTTCGCATCCGTCATGTCCGTCGCTGTTTCAACAAGGTTGCAGACTCTCTGGCAAATGAAGCTATTGACCGCTACGATCTATGTAGCCCCTCACACTTGGCTTACAACACTCTTGTACTCGATGTTGCCCTTGTCTCTTGGAGTGTGCAGAGAACGAAGAAGTTCGTGACGCCCCTCTGTCAATTATTTTACCGTCGAAGGGCACGCAAGTGGAGAACCCATTTTGGACACTTAAAGAAGCCATTGATCGTGATCTTCGTGGTGAGTTCTGCACTGTTATGCCTCATCGTCTTCAGCTCGACCATAGTCACGACGTGTTGCGGAAGAGACAGTGCTTGGCTGATCGCCCCCTACATGTTGCGGCTGCGCGCATGGACACCCAGCGGACTTTGTGTGATTTGGCATTGGTTTCGAAGGAGAGTTTGGTCACTTGGTTCAACTTGCTAAGGCCGCTGGCGATTATGCCAGTGCTTCCAAAGATGGTGGGAGGTGCCCTTCTTGAATCTATCAAGGATAAGATTCATGACATCGCTCCCTGGCAATTTGCTTATCGTGAGGGGCACAGCGTCATGGACATGGCGTTCATTATTAGGATGATGGCTCAGAAGTGCATGCAAGGGGGACTTGGTTTTGTTGCTGGTTCTGCTGATATTCCTAAGGCTTTTGATGTTGTATGCCATCTTCGCGTGCTTCAATCCCTTCAAAGGCGAGGTGTACCAGATTGTATTGCTGCTTGGTTTCTCAGACACTTACGATCTATTCGATATAATGTTCACTTGGTGGGCGACACGGCTACCACGTCACCCATTACTCGCGGCGTTCCTCAAGGGTCTGCTTGGGGGCCGGCTTTCTTCAAAATGGTGCTTACTGATTGTCTACACCCAGCGTGGCAGAAGTGTGTGGCAGATCGACTTGGCATTGCGATGCTGGATGTTGCTTACTGTGGTCATCATTATTCCAAGTGGTGCAGAATGTGCAATTTCAAGTTTAGTCCCTTCTTGGTTTGGAGTGACAATCTGTTCATACTGGCCAACTGTATCGTGGATGCGCGTGAGATATGGAAGAGATGTTGTGCAGCACTTGTTCTTTATGGCTGGGACCTTCCTGAAGATCGTATTACGCTCTTGGTGAACAATACCAAGGAAAAACATCCTTGGTCCAAGATATGGCCTGCTTTTGAGATTATCCCGCATGATAAGGCGATGACGATCACTGGCATGTGGATGAACGCTCGTGGACACCTGGATCAAGATGTTCGCACTAAAACGCTCACGGCTACATCAGTGGTGGGATCTGTTCAGCACTTACTTTCCAGTCCGTCAAGCACTCGTATATCTAGATTTCGCCTGATTCACCGTACGGTATCATCTTAGTGCTTATGGTGCTCACCAGTCTGGAATCTATGCCGACGCGCGGCACTGGCTTTGCGAGCGGCTCAGACAAAACAGTTTGCTCGTCACATACGCTGGCCTCGTCTACCAGAAGAAACTGATGAATCGTATTCTCGGTCGGTCAGGTCGCAGATTAAGAAAATCAAGATTGCTGAGCACATCCAGGACCTAGATGTTATAGTATGGCGTCGTCTTCATAGGTATGCTCGACATATCGCACGCATCCTGATTCTATTATGGGTTATGTTCTGAACTGGAATTCTCACCAACACGCTGTAACTGGACAAAGAGAAGGTGAAAAACACGGTTTCCATAAGTTTTCGTGGCAGTGTGTCTGGGAATATCAATTGACTAGATTCTATTATCCTCGAGGTATTCACTGGATGGAAATGGCTCTAGATAGATACGCGTGGAAGGCGTATGAGGAGGAGTACATCCTTTGGCGGCTGGGGGAATCTAAAGATCGTGCTAGTGTTTGAGGCTTACCTACAGCTTCACCGAGCAGAACCGAGGTTGCATGTGAGAGGCGTTTTGTTCCTCACCTACAGCTTCGCTAACCAGAACCGAGGTTGCATTTGAGAGGCGTTCTGTTCCTCACTTACAGCTTCACAGAGCAGAACCGAGGTTGCATTTGAGAGGCGTTTTGTTCCTCACCTACAGCTTCACAGTGCAGAACCGAGGTTGCATTTGAGAGGCGTTTTGTTCCTCATCTACAGCCGCACAGAGCAGAACCGTGGTTGCATTTGAGAGGCGTTTTGTTCCTCACCTTCAGCTTCACATAGCAGAACCGAGGTTGCATTTGAGAGGCGTTTTGTTCCTCATCTACAGCCGCCACAGAGCAGAACCGAGGAGGAGTACATTTATGGAGATTGGGAGAATCCAAGAATCGTGCTAGCGTATGTGATATCTTCTTGAACGAGGTTTACTTTGTCGTCGTCCTTGCCTGAGTTCCTGCCCTCTCGCTCCGCTGCTGCGTTTAGAGTAGTATGTCATGCTGGATGGCCCCCATCTCTTATAGCATGCCTCCACCACCACCACCTCCTCCTCCTCCTCCTCCTCTCCTTCCTCGGAGGAGGAGGGGGGAGGACGAGGAACATAAGGGAGACGCGATCATTCTAAATAACTGATTACTTGATTGATCAATGAATTAATCAATTAATTAATTGATTGAACCTCGCCTGGCCCAGTGCTCCTCTTGAACAGGGCTTCGCGCTGCCGCTCCGCACGGCAGACGTCTACTGTACCGCCGCCCGCGGGTCGACACACCCGTGCGGCTGCTCAACACGACGCAAGTCCAGGGCTTCGGGGATCTCCAACCCACACTCACCACCCACCAAACCACCCCAACCCAACCCGAAGCCTTCAATTTGACTTCCATTTCCAGTGGGGGGGGGGGTCGGGGAACCTTGAAAAAGCACATGGTATCCGTACCCCCCCCCAACCCGAAATTCGGTTCAAATTCGGGTCTTCGGGTTGGGTTGGGGTGGTCTGGCGGTAGGTAGTCATACACGGTGCTGACCACTGGGGTCAGCACCCACCAAGGAAATTGATGGAACCAACCTTCCTTCCCACAGGGCTCTAACCTGGACCAGCGGCTCACGCAGCTCGCCGAGCCTCGAGGTGGGGGGGGGCTGATGGTCGAATCAGAGTGGAGGAAGAGGAGGCGCAGGAGGACGGCGTAGGAGCAACGATGAGGATGATGGAGGAGGGAGAGAGGGAGGGAGGTATAGCTTTTCTGGCGTGTCATGGCTTCTCCCACCACCCTTGTAGTAGTGGGTGCTGTCTCGTATCTGTGCGTATCATGTCAGTTGCTCTCTGACTTGCCGGAGTCACCACGGCCACGCATTTGCTTCCATTCGTGCATCATTCGACTTTCCAAAGCCGTTTCAAGCCAAAGTTGGCAGCTCCGTCTTGCGGAGCCGCGGCCGCAGCAGTGGAGAGTTCAAACTAGCTAGGCTGGATTTCCGCTGACAGCTATCGAAAAATGGTCACCATCACGTTCTGATCGCAGACAGGTGGATTCGTCACAGTGGTTGCCACATCACTCACGAAGCCTACCGTGTAAGGGAGGGAGGAGGAGCAGGAGGAAGGGGAGGAGGAAGAGGGGGTGGCGGGGACGGGAACGAGGAGGAAGAGGAGGTTGGAGGATGATGACGAGCGCGATTGCGACGATGACCGAGATCCTCCAGGATGTCCCGAGAGAGCCTCCCGAGAGCCTTCGGACACGCCTCCGAGCACCTGCGAAATGTACGACAGCATTCGCAGATTCCCAAAATCAACGAACACTGAATGCGAGGACGACGACGACGACGACCACCACCACGACGACGACTACGACGACTACCACGACCACCACGACGACGACCACGACGACCACCACTACGACGACGACGACCACCACGACCACCACGACGACTACCACCACGACTACCACGACCACCACGACCACCACGACCACCACGGCCACCACGACCACCACGACCACCACGACCACCACGACCACCACGACCACCACGACCACCACGACCACCACGACCACCACGACGACCACGACGACCACGACGACCGCGACGACCACGACGACCACGACGACCACGACGACCACGACGACGACGACGACGACACGACGACGACGACGACGACGACGACGACGACGACGACGACGACGACGACGACGACGACGACGACGACGACGGCGGCGGCGGCGGCGGCGGCGGCGGCGGCGGCGGCGTGCGGCGGCGTGCGGCGGCGGCGGCGGCGAGGGCCCGCCGGCCGGCGGCACCCGAGGCGCCGGCCGAGGCGCGGGAGTCGGCCTGGAGGCGGCGCGAGGAGGAGCTGAAGGCGCCGCGGCGCGCGGCGCGCGCGGGCGCACGCGCGCGTGGGGACCCAGCTTTGCCCGCCGCCGGGGGGGAGAGAGGCGAGAAGCGATGGAGAGGAGGAGGAGGAGGAGGTGGAGGAGGAGGAGGTGGAGGAGGAAGAGGAGGCGGAGGAGGAGGAGGATGAGGAGGAGAAGGAGGAGAAGGAGGAGGAGGCGGAGGAGGAGGCGGAGGAGGAGGAGGAGGGACGGGAGAGGAGGATAGGAGAGGATGGAGAGTGGGGAAGGGAGAGGGGAGGAGATGAGAGGATGGGGAGGGGAGGAGGGGGGAGGAAGGGAAGGACAGGGGAGGAGAGCTCACTAGTGCGGACAGGAGTCTGTCCAGACCCGCGGGAGCCGAGCCCCTACAGGGCCGACCTCGGTGAGTGCGTAGCGATGGGGGCGTGGAACGCTCCCTCCTGCGCGTCCGTGCTGCAGGGAGGCACCGGTGTTTACCCCGCTTCGGCATGAGCACCTCGATGCTCTGGGGAAGAAGGCGCCGCGTTGGGACATCCCCTCTGCGGCCAAGTGCTTGGTCTACTGAACAAGTTGCCACATGTTCTCGGAACGCACGACAAAATGGAGCTAGCGCTGGTGCTAGCGGTGGGGGCAAATCGTGCCTAGACATGTGCCTGGGGGTGGGCCCAGGAGAGATGGGCGTGCAAGGTGCTTGTTGGAAATCGTTCCACCAGGCGGACTGCGTTCTTTGGAACCTGTCCAGAACAGAGTCTTGACTGATCCTTGATAATACGGAGCGTGCGTGCGAGGCTGGAGGCGCGCCGTTCCAGCGCCCTGATGCGCGAGGTTAAAACAGGTCCACGCTCCCGGGCAGGGTGCTGCCTGGCCACGTGAAGCGTTGCGTGGGGGTACGTCTCCGATCGGTGGGTGGTGCTATGGCCCTTGGTTCCCGTTCCCTGGTGGGGCGGGGGTCAGGTTCGGATTCGGTTCGATTCGATTCCGATTGCTTCTGATTCTGATTCGATTCGACTTGGGGTTCCGATTTGGGTTCCGACTTCTTATTGGGGCATACTAGTCCGATTTCCGCCGATTCCATTTTTCCCGGCTCGGCTGCCGATTCCCGCCGATCCGATTCATGTCGATCGCCGATCCGATGTATCGTTTCGATTCTGGGCTCTCCTGGGGTTGGGCCTGGTGGTAGGGTGCGTTGCGCTGGGGGAGTGGGTGTGCTCCCGCACTACAGTCAACCCGCAGAGTAAGGATGCGCGATAAGGATGCAAGGCCCTTGGAAGCCCCTGTCGAAGCTCTTCGAGCGGGGCGCGGCCAACGAACGTGGCGAAGGAAGGACCCAGCAGGCAAGGATGCAAGGGTACCCTTGGAAGGGATGCCCATCCTTGCTCTGCGGGTCGACTGCACTGTAGCCAGCCCAGTCGGTCGGGGCGACCTTGCTGGCCCGCGGGGGGAGGCGCAGTGCGCCACCTCTCGCCCACCAGCGCGAAGGGCCTCCCCCTGGCCGCTGGTCACCGCCCACCAAACCACCCCAACCCAACCCGAAGGTCCCAATTTGCCCTCCATTTCCGGTTGGGGGGGGTCGGGGAACGTCGAGAAAACACACATGGAGCCCGTACCCCCCCCAACCCGAAATTCGGGTCTTCGGGTTGGGTTGGGGTGGTTTGGTAGGTAGTCAGCTGGCGCCCGAGGTTGGGGCCCCGCTGGGCCTGCGCCGCTGGAGGCGCCCTCGCCCTGTGTTCCCTGGGGCGACGGAGCGCGCCGTCATCGTCCGCGTCGTGGCCAGCACTGGGCGTCACTTTCCTCAGCGTTCAACGGGTTGGAACGCAGGGAAAAGACGAGGAAGGGAGAGCTAGGTGCCCAGAGGGGCCATGACAGGCTATGGAGTAGAAAGGGGGGAGCGCGCGTCAGGTACGATTTGTTGTGTTATCTCCACGTGCTGCACCCATCGAACCCGACCCAGCATCGCGCCTCAGGGGCGCACGCAGCCCATTCAGGTGAAACTGCGGTTCCCCAGGAGACTTTTCCCAGCGGGGAGAGAGGGCGTGTGTCGGACCTGGCGCGCGGCCGTGACCGTGGCGGTGCGTCGCGGCAGCAGTGCTGTCGCCGTCATCGTCGAGGAGCCCGCCGGGACGGAGCGGATCTGTTGCGTCTCCGTCTCGAAGTTGTCGGAGGGATGCCCCGCGGATCGTCAAGTTCGTCGTGGCATTCTGGCCCTGGTGGGCCTTGCGAATTACACGGGTCACTGGGTGAGCTTGTTGGTCAATGATCCCCGTCCCCTGTGGTGGGAGTTTTGACCTGAAGTGGCCAGTTAGCCTGTCAGTTAGCTGCAGTGCGTGGTGGCCACGGTCGTATATAGCGACCGCGGCGTTGCGGAGGATTGCTGCGAAATCGTGCCACCATTTGGCCGCATCGATGACATCCTGAGGCAGGGCGTGCAGATTGGCTCCAGCGTCCCGTTGTTGCTAGCTCGTCAGCGTGGCGGTTGAAAGCCTCAACAACAGGCGGGATGCAGCCTTCGCGAAGCTCGAATCCCCACCAGGGACGCGTTGCATACCTGCACCCTGGCCGTACTGTTTCAGCTTACCGCCAGCCCCTTCCACTCGCCAGTTCGCCGCCGAGGTGCTGCGTGAGGCTCTGTCCCGCCTTAGGTGTGGCTGTGCCCCGTCGCTTTAGGCTAGTTCGTGGTCGCGTGCCCCGCTTCTACTGGACTCGCCGCTGGCGCGCTCGCTTGCGGCCGCTGATTATAAACAAAAAGAATCCCCAGCAGGGTTTCGGGCCCTGCCCCGCTTCCTGGTTCCCCCTCGCGCCGCCAGGCAGCTTGGGCAGCTTAGGCAGCTTAGTTTCGGCCACCGGTCCCCGCGCGTCGGGCAATTAGGCTCGCGCGTAGCCCGCCCGACCTCTGACGCTGCTGGCGCGCTCGCCTGCGGCCGCGACGAGAAAAAAATCCCCACCAGCCCATCCAGAAACGATGCCCAGAAGAATTGCCTCGATCAGGGAAGTGGGCAGCACGCAGAGGTAGCCATTATGAGACATATTGGGATATCTTGAGCCATCTTGGAGGTCATTGTGGGCTCTCCCAGGCGCTCTTGGAGTCATCTTAATTTGTGCCCCCCCAAGAGGCCAACATGTGGCTAAAGCCTTTTTGTTAAATCAATGATTTGGCATTCTCGCCGAGGCCTCTTGGAGCATCTTGGCCCCGAAGGGGAAGAAGGAGGGGTGGAAGAGGAAACTCCCTAAACCACCTACGCCCAGAGGGCAGGTGGGGATCTCTTGGGAGCCTCTGGGGGCATTCTGGGAGCCTCTTGGGGTTCCTGGCCACGTCTTGGGGCCATCTTGCCGCACTCTTGGGACCTCTTGGGCGCTTCTTGGGGCCATCTTGGGTAAGATCGTGGTTTCCTCGCCGAGGCCGTTGTGGACGCTCCGACACCTCGCGGAACCCCGTGTCCAGGTTCATGGGGAGGTGGTAGGGGGAGGGGTAAACCCCACCCCGAAGGAAAGAGGAAGGAAGAGGAAACTCCCTAAACCACCGACGCCCAGAGGGCTGGTGGGATTTTTTGGGCCTTGAACATGCCAGGCTCGATGGGGGCAGGTCCCGACCAGTGGCGCCTGCTGCCGCTGAGTCGCTGCGTGGTTTCGCCCTCTGTTGCGGTATTGCTCGTCCGATTTGGCCGGTGTTCAGCGGGCCTCGGCGTGTGCTGCGACTGCGGTGCTCGCGCGTGGTTGCGCTGCCATTGGCCTCTGGCCGCCGCCGCCCTCCACGGGGCCGTTGCGTCCCTCCGCCGGCGTTGATGGCGGCCGTGGAGAGGGCCGCTTCTGGTGGCTAGTTGGCGGCGAGGGGAGCGAATAGTTCCGACGGGCGCCGCCGCGCCAGCTCCAGCGGGTGAATTTGTCCAGGGACCGCCGCAGCATTTGCGTGCCCAGGCGCCGTCTGGCCCATGGCCAAGGCACCACTCCCCCGCGCGCCTGCTGGACGCGCATGCCATCACGCGCCCTGCACACACACTCTCACGGAACTCAGCACTCGCTTCCAGCGCTGCCTGGTGCAGGCGCGAATTCAGGACCATGCACTTGCTAGCCAAGCCTTGGCTTCGCTGTGCGCGCACAGGACGGCGTCGCTTACAGCGTAGGCCGCGGCTTGCCCCGTCGGGTTAGCCTCCGCGGGCCATCGTGGTCCCTGGAGCAGGTTTGTAGACGTCGGTCGCCGCGGCAGGCTCGTCCTGTCGCGAGGCTGGTCGATGTCCGCAAGTTTTGCGCACCCGACGATGAGGCATACCCAGATTGCAGGATGGCGTTGGGTGGCGTGGGCTTCTGTATGCGTTGGAGGCGGTCGTGCCTTTGCCGATGTGTTCCTCCCGTCGGACGCAGTCGCGGTGCTTGACGCAAAAGGACTCGGGTCTGCAGGAGTCCCCTAGCGTTCCCGGGCCTTCGATGGGGTCGTCGGGGACCCCCTGATGGCTGTCGGGTCTTCGACGGGGTCGTCGCGGACCTGGTGGCCCGCGCCCTTGTGTTCTATCGCTGCGGCCGGGCAGGCTCGAGCTGGCGAGCTGGCGCCCAGCTGCCCTTGCGTCGCAGCGGCGCGGGTCCGTTCGATCGGCGAGGCAGGCGCCCGCGCGCCCAGCCCGGGGTGGCGCGCGGCCTGCGTGGCCTCCCAGAGGGCGCCCCGCAGCGGCGCGCTCCGTCGGTCCGTCGACGTCTCGGCGCAGGCACGGGGCAGGGCCTGCCGACGCACAGCAAGGTCGTTGCCGCGGGCATGAATCCGCAGTAGTTGTGGCAGCCGGTGGCGTTCATCCCCGTCGCTGGAGCACGCGAGGTGAACGCTCCGAAGAGTCAAGGGGGACCCGGTGGGCCACTGCTGCAGCGCGCCGTACTCGCTGCCCGCGGCGGCCCGGGCGGGCCCTCGCTCTCCTCGGCGACCGCGGGCCCGGAGGCGGCCCTGCGACGACGAGGCAGAAGGCGCAGCGCTGGGAGGCCGCGCGTCGCGGGCCTCGGCGACAGGGCGGCCCGCGTCGGTGCCCGC